CGTTAACGGAACCTCCCGACGGATAAGACAGATGGTGTATCAAACGAAAGGAACCAGCCCCACGGGAGAAATGCGTAAATTAGAAAAGGGGGAAAAGGAAAAAGGGCCCGCCATGCGACCCGCTTGGACCTCTGCGTCTAACTTGTCATGCAGAATATCTTCCTTTCCCTTAACCGAATGGAGATTGTGTGCAAACTGGGGCAATGAAGAAGGAACAAACGGAATCCAAAAACTCACCTGAAATCAGTCGAATAAGATCTGCACATTGCGAATTCTATGATACCGGGCGAGCCAGGGGCACATCCTTAGGACGTCCACTGTCGTCTCGAGAAGGACCCTTCCCGACGACAGGTTTCCCTTTCCGGAAGCAGCGCATAGCTGGGTGCGCTCCCCCGCAGTGAGCACATTCGTGGAGAAACCTGCACGAACTGTACCACCGGCACTGGCTCTCGTTAAAGAGCCAGCAGACGCCTTTTTTCTGCCCTGCGGAGGAGCCGGAGGTACCTCCGGCAGACCCGGCAAAGGGAGATAGTCTACTGGGGGTCATTATTAACAGCCAGAGACTACCATCCTGAACCCCAAAATCCATACCCGGGCACACCGCCATATTTTGGCAGAATTGCTGGTCATAGTGATAGTCATAGGCAATTGGCAGCATCCCTGCTCTGCAGGACTTTGTTTCCTGAAATTCCGTTTCAGAAGCTGGATGCTACAGGGGAACCTGGATATCCATTGCTGGAAGCAGCCTTTAAAGTTAAAGCGGCACTGTCATGCCGAATCCCGTTTTTTTTTTTTAACCCCCCTCCCGCATCCACTACATCCAATTGATCCACTAGTCACCCCCAAATGCCCCTAAGCCCCCCATAGTACCTATTTTTTATTCCTTATTTTCTGCCCCGATCTTGATTCAGGGCGCAGCCATCTTTGTGTGGGTAGATGAAGTCTCTGTGGGACACGTCATCAGCCCACACTAGACAGACTGTGAGATTCCCGCACATGCCCAGTGAAACACCTGGACATGCGAACGGGAATTTCATCTATTCACTCATTCATCAGACAGACGAATGAGTGAATAGAAATATCAGCCGAACAAACTATCACTATGTATCAGTGTATCTGAGTATCAGTGTTCGTTTGTTCGTGCAGGTTGTTACAAGGAGGGAGCTACCGGCACGCAGCTCCCTCCTTGTAATATGTAACTATAGAAGCGGCAGGGAGCAGTGCTCCCCACCACTTCATAAGCCCCCCCCAGTACCTCCTCTCACTCTATGGGGGTAAATATGACCCCCATAATAGCACAAGGGAGATTAAAATCTCCCAAATGCCCCTACTCGCTATACCGCGAGGACCTACTGTCCTCCCCCCCCCGGCCCCCACCCCTGAGCGGTTGGTGGGGGCCCTAATAAAACAATAAGGGGTGGGACCTACTGGCCTTCCCCCCCTGGCCCCCACCCCTAGAGCGGTGGGTGGGGGCCCTAATAAAACAATAGGGGGGGGGACCTACTGTCCTCCCCCCTGGCCCCCACCCCTGTGCGGTGGGTTGGGGCCCTAATAAAACAATAAGGGGGGGGACCTATTGTCCTCCCCCCCTGGCCCCCACCCCTGTGCGGTGGGTGGGGGCCCCAGTAAAACAATAAGGGGGGGGGCCTACTGTCCTCCCCCCCGGCCCCCACCCCTGAGTGGTGGGTGGGGGACCCAGTAAAACAATAAGGGGGGGCCTACTGTCCTCCCCCCCCCCTGGCCCCCACCCCTGAGCGGTGGGTGGGGGCC